GGAAGTGCATATGAATGCTTAAAAGAACTGCTGATGCATAGTATGAGTTCATATCTAATGTTTTTACCTTTAGGAAAACCTTTTACTTGGAGTACAGGGTTGCTGATAGCTTAAGATGCTCTAGGCTTTGGAATTTCCCAATCCTCAGAGTAAAAACATATCTATATGTGTGCACCCATAGGCAGAGTTAAGAACACCCCACCAAAAAAAAAAAAAAGGCAGCATGGCTTGTCTTCCAGCTCTGTGAGTTAATTTGGGAATCCTGGTATTTATTTGTGACTATATGCCTATCAATTTGATAAGAAATTCGAAGTGGTTGACTTTATCCTTGGTCATTTAAACCCATAATCAGTGTCATACGGTATCCATACTGATTTCTGTACTCAAGATCCATGTATGTAATATGCATATTTTAGTAGTGGAATATATATTTATGTTATAGTGAATTTTAAATTATACCAATTGTATAACACTTATGAAGAGTATTCTCATATTGCTCATAATTTCATTCCACAAGAATGTATATAAACTAACTTAGGCCAAACTCCTCAAACGGTTAATATGTAATAAAATATGTTAGAATTTGGGGGTGCATGGCTCAGTACTCTTAGTAATGGTGATTTAAATCTATACCCCACTTAGTTTTATATCCTTCAATATAATAGAGGTTTTAAATAAGAAGAAACTGATTAGTTGATGATGATTAGGTGAGCATTGTTGCATTTCATTTGAATATGTATTTGTCACATAACCCTCGAATTATCAGTGCAAGCAAGGAGTTTATGAATATATCAAGTTTAAAAGAATATTTTATGGCAGTTTTGTAGAGGTGTATTTGAGATTTACATTCACAGTAGTACACCAAAATTTAATGCTCATCAAAAGAAGTAGAAAAATGTGTTCTTTATATATTCCAGATAGTAGACCTTTTTCTGAGGAATAGTTGTTAAAAGTTCTTTCCCACATTGTGTGTTGTCTCTTCACTTTGTTGGTGATTTCTCTTGCTGTGCAGAAGCTTTTTAATGAGAAGACATCCCTTTTGTTGATTCTTTGTTTTAGTTCACGTGCAACTGAGGTTTTGTTCACAAAAACTTTTCCTATGCCAGTGCCTTTAAGAGGTCTACCTAACCTTTCTTCTAGCCTGTTTAGTATTTCTGTTTTATGGTTTAGATCTTTGATCCATTTTGATTTTTGTTTAGTGCATAGTGAGAGATATAGGTCTAGTTTTAATCTTTGGCAAGTTGAAATCCAATTTTTCCAGCTCTAGTGAGGGTGTTTGGCTTCTTTGTCAAAGATGAGGTGGCTGAGTATGTCTGGAGTTGTTTCTGTATCTTCTAATCTGTTCCACTGATCCTCGGGTCTGTTTCTTTGTCAGTCCCATGCTGTTTTTGTCACAGTAGCTTTGTAATATAGTTTCAGGTTAGGGCTTATGATGCCCCTACCTTGTCTTTGTTGCTAGAACTGCTTTTGCTATTGTGAAAACCAAAAGGTTCCAGCTAGTCTTTCACAGTGGTATGGAGGGAAAGGTTTTTGCTTTTTTTTTCACTAGATGATAAGCAGGGCAAGTCCTGGAAGAAAGAGATTGTAATTCTAATACAAAAGTGTGAAATTCAGGGAAAGAAAGTAAATGCAGTGAATCCTAGAACCAGGGAGAGGAATTCAGGATATTAGTTTCCTATTGCTGCTAAGTAAACAAAGAAACAAATAAACAAATGGTACAAATTCAGTAGCTTGCAGAGGAGAAGCTAGTTCTTTTAGAGCCTGGATATCAGACGTTCAAAATTAACTTCCCCTGGACAAAGTTGAATGGTGTCAAAGCTGATGATTCCTGAGTTTCTGAGGAGAGAATTTTTCCTTGCATCTTTCGTGCTGTAGAAACTGGCTCAATTCTTTGACCTTTGATCCCATCTCCTCTTTAAGATTAGTGATCTCACCGCTGAGCAGCCTCATTCCCTCACCTCTCCATGGCCTGAATGACCCTTCCCTCTTCAACTGAACTGGTGGTGTCACCGCAAGCCCTAGAGGGTCACCTGCTCATCATGGGACTTTAAAAAATATTAAATATGTTTAAGGTATAGACTACTGTGTTCTATATCTTTAGAGTATACATTAAACATACATATTTGTAAGTTTATACATAGACATACCGTATTTATATATTTACATATATGTACGACTTATTTACATGTTTATATTTATTTAGTTTAAACATATTTGTGTAAGGTATATATAGAGAGAAACATAATAGAAAGAGGGAGAAAGAAATGGAGACAGAAAAACAGTGTGTAAAATTCTTTTTTCAGTGGAACACATTAATATATCCATGGTCAAATAGGTATTTATTTCTCCTTGTAGCAAGAACAGTTATAATTGAGTCAATTTAACATAATTCCCAAAGAGAATACACTCTTGTTTACTATAGTTCTCATGTTGTATATTAGGCCTTTCAACTTTTCTATCCTGTGTATTTCCCAATTTGTATTCTTTGAATGCCTCCATCTCCCACAAAAAACAAAACAAAACAAAAAAATACTTGGGGAACCCTCATTTTATGTTCTTTATCTCTATATTAACATTTTTAGATTGCACATATTAGTGAGATCATGCAAAATTTCATTTTGTCTTATGGTTTATGTGGTTAGCATAGCGTCCTTCAGTCCATCCACAATGTGGCTATGGCAAGACTTCCTGCTTTGTCTTTCATCCATTAGCTGAATGTCTGCAAATCTGAGCTAGCATAACACAAAGTGCAGAAATTTTTACGAGGTTCTGATTTCATTTTGGGGCATTCATAACAAGAAGAGTGATTACTGGATCAAGATTTTTAACTTAATCATGTCTGTGAATTTTCTTTTTTCATGTAACTTAACATATATAGGTTCCTGGAGGTAGGCTATAGATATATTTTGATTAGTTCAATACACTTACTTTTATTTTTAACAAGTATGCTACAAAGAACCTTTGGACTCATTTAAAACTGTGATTCTCAAAAGCTTATACAAACATCATCATGGAAATCTATCAAAATACAAATTTTGGTTAATTTTAAAATTCTCCAGAGGCTTTGAAAATGCTATATTTTGTGTGTAATAATTGTAGCTAAACAGTGAGTATTGGCATGTTTTTAAAAAAATGCAATTGTGATTTGTTTTTTATAAGATATATAGTTTGAGAACCATTTACATGAAACATAAGATTGATTATAACATGATTTACATTTTAGAAATTTTATTCCTTTGAAGACGTTTTAACATCTCCATACCAGAAAGCTCTGACGGTACAGAAAATGAACAAGTGTGTGGGGATTTTCTATCAAATAATTTATATAAGTAGGGATCTGTGTAGGTAGTCTATGCCAGTATAAAACAAGGGCATTATAAAAGATATAGCTGATTTGATATTTACATGTTAATAGTAGGAAACAAACAAAAAGAAAATTTTGGATTGGAAAAAATAATTAAGCATCATTTACAGTGAAAGGAAAGTTCAATCTATATGGAATTACTTTCATTTTAGAGCTCAGAAATGTGAAAGGATAGTGTTGATTTTAACATATTTGAGTAATCGTGGTTGTAGTTCCAAGGTAAAAAATATCGCTGTAGTTTATATATTTGTGTATTGTGTTATAAATACAACAACAATCACTTGTCTAATCTTTCTTATTTTTACCATCATATAATTCTAACCAATATAAAAAATCAGTAATTCTTTGATACTCAGAAATTAAAGTGATATTGATTAAATGAAAAAAAATTCCTGCAAATTGATTTTCTAGTTTAAACCATAATATTTGTTGAATTACAAATACACTTATTTACTAACAATAGTAACGTGTAATCTCTGGATTTTTGGGGGGTATCGGGGATTGAACTCGGGTCCTTGCGCTTGCAAGGCAGGCCACTGAACCGCTGAACTAAATCTCTGGACCTCTGGATTTCGTTTAATGAAAGCACCAAATATTTTAAATAATTGTTTAATATAATTAGCTTGTATTGTTATATCTATAAAGGGATGTTATTGTTTATATGTTAAAATATTTTTATTTCTATAAAATATTACCAACTTATAATTATTTCTTTTTTATGTTTCTCTTTTCTAGCATACAGAAATGTTTGAAAAATCAAAAACCAAAGAGTATGTCACTTCTATAAATAGCTTGCTTATAGGGTTTTACAGATTAAAGAAATTAGCCTGTCACCTCTGCTATAATTTTGAAATCTTGAGAAATCTGAAAAGTTTAAAATTTGGGGCTGGGGATTTAGCTTAGTGGTTCTGGTGCCTGTTACTTTTGCTTATCTGTAAATATTGGATATCATTCAACCCAAAGAAATGAACTCTCTTCGTCTTCCTATAGTTGGAAATACATACAATTTCATACATCTCCAGACATTTTAGAATAATTCATTAAAATGAGGTTATATTTGTAGATCATTTGAAATCAAAAAAAGGTAAATTCATGAAATTTCTAATGATCTGGGTTGTTGTTTAGCAGATTTGTTACCATTCATACCTGCATCAAGTTAAATATCACCAACCTCGGGAAATCTATACAGTATGTCTTGGTTTTGATTTAATTGTGCTCATACTACCCTATTTCCATCTTCTAGGTTAATCATTCATAATTTCTTGTCCAATCTTGGACTAAAATGATGGAGAAATGAGAAGGACAAATGCTAACATGCATAGCATGACATAAACCTTGCCTTATCTAGAGAGACATTAATATTTGGTTATATATTAATTCTTTTCTGTATATCCTAGTTCAACAAATTTTCATATTTCCAGGTTTTTTTAGTCACCAAGGTCTACATTTGTATTTATTTTTATAAACAACAATGTGATAAAGTGGAAAGATAACTTACACTAAAATTAGGCTTTTGAAACCAAAATATTGCATCTATTAATCATCTTCATAAAGTACATTATGTTTAAAATTGATGTTGCTTGGGATTTTTAATTTACTTTAAGTACATTTTTATTTATTCAGTTTAACTGTTCTGTAAGTCATCATAAACCAAATCACAGGGTATACTATAGTAGCCGAATGAGCTCCCATTCCAGATTCAGCACATATTGGCTGGGTCCCGGATATACTGGCCATCACCTGGAGAGCATTCTTGCGATGACTGGAACAAACCAGCCTCTCCAACACTGCTGCCCATTATGGGCCAATGTTCTTTTTCCTCAACAGACCCCTGTGGGTGGTCCACCTGGCAATTGAAAATGTGAGAGGTCTGATAGAGTATGTGAATAGGTACAAGATTTTATAAATCCATATATCTCATGCATAAGTGTGTGAGCACACAAGTACACACGCATACACACACATATGCATGCACACACACACACACACACTTTTCCCTTATAGACTTTCCTCCCCAGTAATTATATCCAAATCCTATTAATTGGCCAACTTCTGTGACGTGTTTCTTTTTATGGTTCCCCAGCACTGTATTCTGCTACTTCTCACAGGCTCTGGGACCGTCTCCATATATGTGTCTCAGAGCAGAGAGTTCCAAATCTTACGTCAGTGGTTACAATCCACTCACTGTGACTCACTGTGAAGATGCCCATCTTGTTTCTCATGGGCTTCAGCTGTACTCTAAACACTTTTCATTTTTTCTGGAACTTTTCTGCTGTATCTCAATTCTTAATTCTCAAAGCAGAGGAACATGTCCAACTTTTACACACCTTGTCAAGATGTCCTAAAATCCCACCTCTACAACAAATCCACTAGCATCTTCATTTCAAAAAAGTCTTCCTCCTTTCAGATAATTTTGTTTTTATCTTTTTCTTTCCAAGATTGCCCAGTCAATATTAATAAAAGGAAGGGTAATAAGGGAAAAGAAAAAAATATGAGAAAATGAAAAAATGGAAATAAAATGTTAGTAAGTGGGGAGGGGAGGAGGGGGTGAAGGGAGGGCAGGGACAAGGGGAAAAAATGAGAACCCAGACCTGCTCATGTAAAGGTACAAGATCCCAATGATGAATGTAACTGTACTTTATACCTAAAATGTACCCATAAAATCAATGAGAAAAAATATTAATAAAATAACAGCCCTGTTATAAACATTTATAAGTTATAAATGTTTATTTTTATTTTCTTACCTCAAATTATTTGAAAGACATTCACCATTGTGAATTTTTTATGTGCAACTGAAAATCTTCAAATAAACTTCTAGTCTCGTAATAAAGTGTAACAGTGAGGCCTATGAACACACCTTCCCTGCTTCATGAACCCATATGAAAGGCTTAAAAAGAGGAGACTTGAGGTACCAATTTTTATTTAAACTTCTTTAAACAATTCAACGACAGAGTCAAGTACAACTTTATGGGCTAATATGGATGGAAGTGGACTGTCCCAAATTTAAATTACTAACACAATTAGAAAGATTTGGATACTTAAATGATTAAGAGTCATACATAATTTATCATTGGGGCATTGCAACATTTGTTTAAAATTTGCTTAATAATTTTTTATCCCAAACTAAGATAAACAGAATTTTTCTTATATTTCCTCTTAGAATTCAGATTTTGTTGTTTCCTTTACTTTCACATTTACTTCGTTTCTCAAATAAAAATAAATAGGAGTGTATACATTTCTATTTACATATATTCTTTTTTTTTCTCATTGAGTTTATTGGCACATTTTAGGGATACAGTACAGTCACATTCATCATTGGGATCTTGTACCTTTACATGACAGGTCTTGGTTCTCATTTCTTCCCCATACCTCTTCCCTCCCTCCCCCCTCCCTTCCCTATTTACAAAAACTTTACTTCCAATTTTTTGAACTTTATTTTTAATATATATAATAAAAATGGAAACTTGACCTAAAAAGCTGAAGTAGCAATGACAAGAATCAATTGATACTGAAAAATAACTAGAGGAGAAGCTTGTCACACACCGAGGGATAAGAGCAGGGCTTGGCAGCCCTGTTAAAATATAAAAAGATACAGAGTTATGGACAATAATTAAAAATCCAGTCTCTGTCCAGTAGTTATCATAGAGTATTCATAAAAGGTAGTTCAGGGGAATTAGGATACTAGAATGAAAAGTACTGAAATGTGAAAGTAAAGGAAACAACAAAATCTGAATTCTAAGAGGAAATATAAGAAAAATTCCATATTAGCCCATAAAGTTGTACTTGACTCTGTCGTTGAATTGTTTAAAGAAGCACTTTTAGGTAACAACTTTTGATAGTTATTTTAACGTATATTTAAATTTTTTTTCAAATGTATATTTTGATTCTTATCCATTGTTGTTTAAATTCATTTCCTTTAAAATTGCTAACTTTGTAAGCTTTATAATTTAATTTGTGTGGGTAGATTTCTACAGTTACAAGATAGTTTTCAAATTGTGCATTGTTTACTTTTTCATTGCTATCGCCTACTCTTCTCTTGAGGCCTTCCAAATTACTTCCAATTATAGTGAAATAAAGAGAACCCTGCAATCTCAGGGGTAATCACATTGGTTTATAGCTTTGTTCAGTTTGTAGATATGATTTATTTCACCTGGAATGTTCTCTTGTGAGTGATGTATTTAGTCATGTGTCTGCTACAAGCCCGAAATGCCAAGGGAGCAACTCTCCCAAACTACTGAGGGATTCTTGACCATTTCTCTATCAGAAATAAGTTGTGTGTGCATGGTTAACTAAACTGAACTGCTTGTCATTATAGCACAAAATGTCCTCTATTCTTCAACTATTTTCTAATTCTTGGTACAAATCGGTTGTGCCTCTTATTAAAGAGGAACAAATCACAAGAAGGAGGAGGTAGGAGGAGGCTTTCTCAGCGGAGAAGCAAATCAAGAGATGAGGAAAGGGGAAGGAGAGGTGAGAGGGGAAGTGGATGAAAACAGCAATGAAGATGTGCTCTGTTTGTGTGCAACTCCCACGAGGAGTGTAAGCATCGTGTGCAACACACACTTACTAATAAAGAGAATGATCAGAATAAAAAAAGAAAACTATCTCACAGGGATACTGCAATTGCGAATAATTCCCAAACTGTTAGGAATATGAAACATAATAATAATTATTACAATATATATGTCATTCCTGTCTATATATTATATATAATTGTATATAATAATTATAATATATTGTAATT